TTTCTCCGTGTGATTCTGGTGTACAAAGGCAAGATTTCTTGCGCTTGCTGCACCGTTACCAGCTGTTGACATCATTGCTCTGAGGCAGAAGTTGAGTTCTGAGTTGCTCCCCAGTGTAAATTCAGGTATTTAGCGAGGAAAGAGTTTAGTGGGCTAGCTAGTAACGGTGCAAGGGAGGATAGTCCAAAGGACTTAACTACCTTTTAAGAGTAATATATAGCTGTCTTAATTTTTTTCAGTTATTATGTAATTAGCTCTCTTGATTATTTTCTGATACTACTGTTGCTGTTTTAATTAGCATTGAAGGAGCAGGTTGTGCCATAGACTGATGTATTTTGTTAGATAGAACGTTGACTTCACACGCTGCATTCTTTAACTCTGGGTTGAGCTAATGAAGGGCTCTTTTGCATTCAAGTAGCTGGAGAATAATTATACTTCTGCATGGGCCATGTCAAATATAGAGATGTTCCTTAGTCTTCCTCTTTCACTTTCTTCCTGTGTGAATTAGGGGAGACTCGATGCCTTTTGGACAACATCTTCCATTTGCTGACTGTCCTTGCTGAAGCTCTCAGGGCAGTACAGAAGCAGGAGTAGTTGTGGTGGAATATGGATGATTAGGAACCTGTATTGAGCCTTAATGTGTTCAAGTGAAAGCTGCTTAGATGTTTTCTGTCTAAAGTGAACCTTTCAAAAGCCTTTTAGATGCCCGTGAGTGTAAAGGAACCTTGATTTAAGGAAGTGTAAACTAAAATCCACACTTGCATGTCTGTGAAAACTTTGAGCCTGTGTTGATGAAAATAGTTTTGACTTTTCTTGTGGTCATTTAGTCTGGGTAAATCACACTGCACAGATTCAATGTGTCTCATTCCTTGCATCAAATCTTTAGGAATGTGAGGGGAAAAAAGTGCTGTATGTATGTTGCATCGTCACAGGAAAAAAATGCAGCTACATTCCTACTGTGCATCTTTGAACTGGTGTTGGCCTCAGGTATGATTCATAGCAGGCATTGCTTTTGAAAGAGTCTTGCCAGAAAGCAGCTAAGCCTTAGAGAGGGAAATGAGTTACTGAACTGCTGTTGAATCCCATAACTTGGCGTGAAGAAATTGAGATACGAAGGGGCTGCAGTTATAAGGAGATCCACAAGCGATTCATTGAACTAATGATGGTTGTGTAGCTTTGAGGGCCTTGCTATCTTCAAGTGTGTGCTGGAAGGACATTAAAATAGAATTCCAAAAATTCCTTATGGTGTGTCCTACAAAATTGCATATCAAATGCTTTCGCTTTGCTTCTGAAGTGGATCTGAAATCACATGTGATTCTCTTGACTCTGAGCTGTCAAAAACTGAACAGTGGAAAACTGTTTAATTACAAAACTTCTAAAAAAAAAAAAATCTTCCTAGCAAGCATGTAAATTGGAGTACAACCATTTTCTTGTCCTTCCTGTGGTTTTAAGTAACAACACATCTGAATAATATCTAAACTTCCCACTGTACGTTCCTTTGCTCTTAAAGGCTTTGTGTACTGCAGCAGACTTGTCCCAAACCTTCTGTGAGGTACCCTTTTTTTTTTTGTAGTGGAGTGTGTCAAATTGGAAAACAAGGCAGCTTGAAAACTTATATAAAATTGAATTAAGTTATGAATTCTTGTCTACCATTTGACTTTCAAGAACTCGGGTCACGTAATTGCTACTTAATATTCAGACGGGTACGGATAGGTGAAAGCAAATAGTTAGTGACAATCTGAGGAAGTAAGAAGTTGTAATAACGAGGTGTAGAGCAGTGCTGTGATAATAAATAATGCTTATGTTGGCTAAATACAGTTCATATTTTGATAGATTTTTTTTTTTAGAGCTAGAGCTTTTATGCTGTTTAAGAAAAGGCAAAAAAACCAAACCCAACCTGACTGCTGTGAGCTACAAAGCATACAGAGCCCTGTGTTTTTCTGTGACTTAATTATGACAAGTATTCAGAGACCCAAACAGCTGACCTTGCAAGCTCTGTTTTGTTAAGTTCGAAACAACTAGATTTGCTGTAGTAATGTTTGTGTTGCTAACTAATCTTTGCACCTTGCTTTAATGCTAAAATAGTTGGAAGGATTTTGCTTAAATTCTTCCAGAGCTACTGTGGGTCGTCAAGCAAGCAAGCTAGGAAACTTCACGTGAAAGCCAGGGAAAACCAGAATACGTACCAGCTTGTAGAGAGGTCAGAGCTGATCCTGACCTGAAAAGAATTTATGGAATATTCATCTTCGAAACAATCAGGAGGAGGGCAGCAGTCTGAAAATCAGAGATGGTGTCCAGAGATGAAGAGCATGTCTTGGTGTTTATGTTAAAAACTATCTGATAGGTAGGATGCTCCGTTGAAGGCTGAGTTAGGAGAACTGGTGCTGAAATTGTAGCCAGTGTTGGAAGTCCTGTACAGGACATCTTCTGGAGAAAAACGGATTGCTTTTCAGGTAGTCAGGCATCTGTGAGAACCCTGGTTTGCTTTTGGCAACTTTGGGCTTTTAAAGTAATTTCTGTAAATTTTGACTTTGCTTGTACAAGATGGTTTCCCAGCCTTCTTATGCTGGTTTTCACCCTTGTATTTACACTTCAGGCAAAAGTAAGGTGGTTTTTTTTCTCTTTTTCTCCCTCTACTTGTTCTTTGTTTAATCAGAAACACTTTCTTCAACCTGTATGATGCACTTTACATGGGTTATATGGGATGTCACCAGGAATGCGGAGGTGGTGAGGTCGGGGGAAAAAAAGCCTTTTTCCAATCCAGGTGCAGATTTATAAAAATTTCTTCCTGGCCAATTGAATTTAAACTTCATTCTGGAAAAGGTATTCAACTTTACTAAGTTCTTTAAAAATCAGACTATGCCAACAGAACTTCTGAAACTTGCTCACGGGCATGGATGCAGTAGGCCTACTGTCCTTCTTTTATTAACATCTGAAGGAGTTTTCAGCCCTAACCCTCCTTTCACAGAGGGGGCTGTATGACAGCTAGCGTCTTGGGTGGCTGTTGCTGGAAGAAACTAAACTGCCTGCCTTGAGATTAGGTGCTCCTTTGGCACCTTTGCAAATTGATTTAACGTGTCAAAGTGCTAGTGTTTCTGCTGGGAGCAAGAATTTGTGAATAGTTTTTCTGAAAGAGCCAGTGCTAAAGAGGGCAGACCGTGCAGCTGGGAGAGAGGGCAGGAGGAGGAGGCAGATGTGGGACAGAAAGGAGACAGACCTCCCCCTTTTCCCAGCACTGAGCCATTAGATCATCTCAGCTGCTAATGAAATGATAGGCTCCATGTGATAAAGAATAAAGCTTAGCTGTTGCCCATATTAATGACTGGAGCTTCGCAATTCATACTTGGAGCCTGAGCTCGTAAGTGTGGTAGATCAGTAGCGAAGATAGAAGAATGGTGTTTGGCTGTGTTCTCATCCAGCATGGATATACTTACATTATTGTTTTTTTTCCCAGGGTCACCAGGTTCTTGTAAGAGAATAAGAAAGCAGTTAAGATGGAAGAGGAGTCAGAACTCTCTGTGCTTGTTTTTTGCTACCCATTAGGTGACCTTGGACAAATAATTATGAAATTCCATGAATACTTCAGGCTGTTGTAGGTAGTCGCTGTTCTCCTTATGGTTCAACGAACAGCCCAGACCTTTTGTTAACAACAGTGCCCTTCTCTCTCGTTTTGACTTATTCCCTTTTCTTCCCTTCCTCCCCAGCCCCCATCTCCGCAGTGATTTTTATTAACGGTACCAGAATGTTAGACTTAACCCAACAAAAAACCAAGAGAATAGCTTTGTCATTTCAGTTTCCCAGGCCCAGAAGGAAGCAGAGCGTGGTGTCTAGATCAGTTTAAGCCATCAAGAAACTGCAGGGTTAAAAAAAAAACCAAACCCAAACAAACCTCTGCTGCCTTCTACTCCTGCCTGCCTTGCCCTGCTTTTGTGGTGGGCACGTCTGTGTAGCTGTAGTGAGCCGAACTGGGGGAACTTAAAATTAAAGTCTTTTTTTTGCTGGTTGTAGCTTGGATAAATTCTGACCCTCACTGCGAGTCTGCACAAATGCGCAAGAAAATATTATGCGGGATGGGAACAAGTGTCTAGATGCAGAAGGTGGTATTTTAGACAGAGGTAGTGAAAGATTATGGTATCTTAGTGTTGAGGGAGCTAAAGCGTGAAGGGACTGGACAGTTTCAGTCCTTTAAACCTCAGAAGGCTTGGTAGACTGAAGAGTTCTGGGATCATCTGATGAAAAAGCAAAGTATTAACAAGGCTGTTGATCAAAATACTTTATTCTGTAGCAGCCTGACTTGTTTATGGCCTGCGGTAAATCTGGAGAGGTTCCCAGAAAGTCATTGAATGGGAAAACTAGATACATTAAACAACTGATAATAGTTCTTCAGAATGATGAAAACAGAGTGCTTTTCTTAAATAAGAAAAAAGACCTCTGGCTTTGGAGAGCAGCTGGTCATTGCTGAGCATGGATGGTCTTGCTGCACTCCGTCGCGGCTCTGTCAAGATGCTGCTGTTGAATTTCGGGGAGCCAGTTTTGTGGCGCTGCGGGCGTGAGAGATGAAACCTGGTGGTAGGCTCTGCTCTTCTGATCACTTCTAAAGCTTTCCTGGTCAGCCTTTGTATATCTTTGGGATACCTGTATGTTTATAACTTGTGATATCTTTACCTCCAGCAGTGTTCTTAAAATATGCGCTGCAGCTCAGGATTTCTTCTAAAGGAAAATTAGCGCAACTCTTCTGGTTTGTAGTCACTTATTTTCAGGGTAGAAGGAAGCACTAGTTTCTTTCATGTAGGTCAGCACAGAGTTGCTGTGTAGCAGTTGCTTTTTACTCAATTGCAGCTTAGATTGGCAATTAAATCAAATGATAACAAGGCCTACTGCGTAATTTCACTGCTCCATTGACTTTCTTGGGAAGTGCAAAGGGCTAGGACAATTGTGGTAATCAAAATAACTTGGGTGTCACAAACCCCCTACAAGGAGCTGCTAAACCTGCTCTACTGCTCTGCTAAGGGATGATCCAGATACACCATCATTCAGGCTGCATGCGCTAAATTCAGAGCTCTTGGAAAAGTTAAATACCCTTTTTAATGGTATCAGTTCTGCTTGTCAGAGCTTACCTAAATCAGTGCTCTGCTGAAAAATAACTTTCTTTTGTGGTAGGATATCTTAAGATGCCTGGTGTAGTGTCTGAGATCTTCAGTAGTGTTACTGACAGACTGTCAACTGTTTGAGGAGATAGCAATGAGAATTATCTATACTCATCTGCATATTTTGCTTATCTTTTTTTTTATGAAAGCAGATCCTGCACTATCAGCTTGCAAACACAGCTGGCTTGTTTTAAGTTATGTGACTCATGAGGCTGCCAAGGCTCTTATCATGTTTTCTAGCACTTGTATTTTGATTTTTAAACCGGGCTTTTTGGAATGGCTGTTCTAGTTGCACAGCATCTCATCTGTGGGGATCCCTCCTTGCGATAAAGACTTCTTGATATTTGTGTAGAAAGAGCAAATAGCTAAAACTTGTCTCTGAGAAGTGACTGCTTATTCCCACTTCATCTAAAAGAAAAAGGAAATGAAAGAACTCAGGATTATTTGCAGCTACTGTGTTCAGTGTAAAGTGTAACAAGTCACTTCTTCATAAGAGTTGCTTTTGCTGTTTGAAATGCACTGATACCTCATGGTGAACTGCTTTTCGCTTCGCTTGTAGCAGTGCCAGGCTGTACCTAGATCCGCACGTATTTCAAGCTGGCGGTTTCGTTTATGCGGTCCTGTCTGCCTTCGGCTGCTTGTTGCTGCACTGTCCCCTCTTCCATCAGCACAGCTGCTTGTACAGCCACATTGGGAACCACACTGAGGAACTAATCTGGTGAAACTAACCCAGCGAAAGAGAGAGGTGGTTGGTTTTCCTCCAGATCGGTTCCCCAGTGTGATTCACGGAGCAGCTGCACAAGTGCGTATTTATGGTGGTAGAAATGAGGAGGGCGATGCCGCAGTGCGAATAAGCAGCGGGGGCTGGCAGCAGGGTGATTTGGCTGATGCCGGTGATAGCTGAACTACAGCACAGGGGAGTATTTTGTTTGTTTTTTGAGCAAAAATGATATGAAACCCATAGGAGGTAACACTTAATAGAGATTTGAAAATTCCCTCAAAATAATACTTATTGTTTGTCACAGAACAGCTGCAAGGCCTTGATGAAGAATTTTAGAGCCTATTTGAACTGGCTTTTGGATATGTCTTCGTAGCTGATGGTCTCCAGGCAAAAGCTAATTATCGCTGGCCAGGAGAGGTTAATTAACTCTGAATGCTGCCTCTGTAGAGTTCTGAGGAAATCTGAATACTGCAATATAGTATCACCGACAATGTAGTGGGCAAACTGGAAGGCTTATTTTCAGGATCCAAGTCCCTCTGTCATCATGACCGCATGCTAAAGAATGTGATGAAGAAAATTGTCCATGTGATTGGAAACTTGTTCTTTATCAGCTAGGCTAAATGGACAAGTGATGGGACAGGAGGGAGGAGGAGAGTGATGACTAAATTGGTGATTTTAAATAGACATTCATTACCTGTTGCATGTTGAGTCCTGAACTGTGTTGTGGTCTCACAGCCCCAAATTTAATGTTCCTCTTCCAACTGGTTTGGGAGAAGACGACTTCAGACTTGGAGATAAATTCCAGACATTGAAGAGTGCAAAGGAGTCACAAACCGTGGAGATAAGGACTCCGCTCTTGTCCGGAGATGCAGCTGTGGGTTATGACACACTACAGTTTTTTCCAAACCTCATTGCATATAGTGAAAGACGAGAAACTTGTTTGTCTTTGCTTGAGGGCTACTTCATTGTAACATACTACTTAAACCAGTCACACAACTCGTTTGCAGTCCTAAAAAGACCTGGAGAAAGTTGCCCTCTTTGTTAGATACAATGTGGGCTACTCTTCTTGGGTTGTAAGGGATTTAAAAAAAAAAAAAAAATAATGAAGGGGGAAATGAGTATGGTAGGTGATTGATTTGTATGCTACTGAAGTTAATTAAGGGAGAGATATGGCACATAAAACCCTTAAATCATTTTTATAGGGAGTGCAATGTACATTCAAAGCCATTTCTTAAGGAGTATTTAAGTTGCTCACAAAAATGGCAAGTAAAACTACACGACTTTAAGGTTAGATTTGAAATAATGTACAAAGTCCATATAGTTTTTTTTTGTGAGGCTTAATCTTTCTGTTGACATTTTTTATATCAATTTCTAACAAAAAAAGACCATGTAGTTCTGCAATTAAGCATCTTGGAAGGTAGTTATTTTAGCATATACATGTAATACAAAATTAAAATAGAGGTATTGGGGCATCCCATCTCAGGCTCTGTTTTTAGTCTAACTGGTAGACAGACTTTGCAGGAATGACTCCACTGGTGGTTTTGAGTCTGTCACATGAACAGAAATTTAATATTATTCTTATATATTTCCAGGGAGGAAAACTAATATATCACTTAAGCACTATTAAGTGATATAAAGTGTCATATTGTGATTCCAAAACAGATGATGGCCTTTCAACTCTTGTTAAAAGCCTTTTAGGACAAGCTGCAAACACAAAAGTTGTCTTCTGGTTTCGAAAGCATCTTAAATCCGCTTTTGGTCAACGCGAGAGTGTTCCTTTTAAGGTGGATCCAGACTTACAAATTAACAAGCTTTTGGGAGAAAAAAGTATGCTGTAAAATGAAATCTGTGGTAAAAGGAGACAGCAAACCAGTTGTTTGAGGTTTGTAGGTGGTTTGTGGTGATCCAAAAAGGATAGGGAGCCATTTGTCAACACCCCCATGGGCGATGGGCGAGACACTGGTAGGTTGAGAGATGGATTGGGAGAATATGATACTGCAGGATTTGGTGAGAACTTTATATATTTGAAGCGGCAGTTTGCCGAGTGCTAAGTTCATAGTAGTCTGTTTTAACCATGCAGGGGTTTTCAAAGTTAAAATAAGAACCACAGCGAAGCTGATTTAAGAGTGACTGGACAGTCCTACAAAATTGGTTTGTTAACTAGTTCCATTTAACAATAAGCTAGTAATGTTAAGTATTTGTCAAAGATGAAGGGCGTAGTGTGCTTTGAAGCTGAGGATTTTAGCCACGACTATTAAAGCTATTTGGCACTTGGAGGGCGGGGAATTGATTCAATCTGACGATTTTTGTTTGAGATACAGTATTGTAGCAAACTAACATAGTGTTGGGGTTGGATGAAATCACTTAAACTAAAGATTTTAGTGACATATTCCAGTGTATCCAATCCAAGAGAAAAGGACTCAGTTATCCAAGCAGCAGGTAGCTGACAGACATCACAAATTTGACTGTGCCCTTAATTTTTCCCTGAAAATGCAGATATGTCTTTCTGATGTATTTTACTTTTATTTGAGGTTGTTACAGCAGTTTCCAGGATTACTGTGAATTCAGGAAGCTTTGTTGAGCCAGTTCCTTATGGCTCTGGATTAGGTGGTGGTTTATGTTGGAGCTCTGTGTCCATTAGTGCTTGTTGAAAATAGCTTTGGCTCGGAAGCGTTTCCAATGTGATGATGCAGAACACCTGGGTGATGCTGCTGCTGTTTGATGCTAAGAGTGTCACATATTTGCTTGAAACTGCTCAAATAGTTGGGGTGATTTAGACACGTGGAATAAAAATTGTATAGGACATGAGTAAGAGTAGCTTGTCTTGTGTATCAGTGTTGCTTAATCTGAGCTCGTAGGTGCTAGTTGTTGCCTGTCCAGTCAGTTTCCTATGGCTTTGCTGAATGCTTATTGTTCACACTAGCTTTCTGCCAAAGAAAATGGAGTGTTTGGTGGGATTTTTTTTGACAACAGTGCTTTGGGAATCATTAAAATGCTTTAATACAAAAAAAAAGGGGTTCAATTTCAATCTAAGAAAGTTCTTTTAACTATTTAGGTTTTTTTTTCCTTCTTTTTAGCGCCGGCTTCGTCATCTTCGGAACATCGCTGCACGTAACATTATCAATAAGAATGGCTATCGTCTCTTGGATACGTACTTCACGCTCCACTTGTGTGATAACACCAAGATATACAAAGGTAAACCAGGCTTGCTATCAACTCTTTTGCTAGTTAATCTTTGAATTCTTATGTTACAAACTCTCTGTCCTTTTTTTGCCCTGACAACCTGCTGCCACTATTTGTATCACTTATGCTAACAGTGGAAAAGAGCTCTTTAGTTTCCTGAACTTTGTAAAAGCTTACAGTGTTAGTAGGCAAGGAAGCAAACCAGATGACAGATGTGGTAGTCTCTTAAATCGGCCTCTTTTTGTTGTTGCTCTTCTCTCCCCCCCACCAATAACTTAAGAAAACTGGGAACTTCCAAGAGCACAGAAAAACTTTTGGAGCCTTAGTTGCTTTGAGTGGGGGAGAGCGTTCCGCTCTGCATACCAGTTATTTTACAGAGCATAAACCAGCACTTACTACTATCAAAGTTTTCCAAAAATAAAATTGTCAGCCCATGACAAGAAGCATCCAGGCATTTGTTCTGCTTTTGATAACTGTGTTTAGAGTGTTAGATCTCATTTCTCTTTAATGCTTTGCTTCCCACTACAATGTATAGTGCTTCATTGTGGAGACATGTTATTAAAAATGCATTTTTTTAAGCTCCTTTTGATATGGTCAATAGTTGGAGCTCTGCAAACGAATTTTGTTTGTCTCCTAACTTTTATTTTCAGCTTTGTGCAGTTGAACCTTGCTTTTTTTCAAGGCCGCTGTTTTAGAAGGATAAGAATACATAACTTGAGCTTGCTGCCTGGACTTTCTTGGGGTGGTTGGTTGAACCTGTAACTGATCACTGTTTCCGCAGTGTTTGGTGTATGGCACTGTTCTGCACTCCATCAAAGCTTTATCCTTGGACGCCAATGGACCGAGGGATAGTGTATAAAATCTGTATTGCAGTCTCCAGAGCTGTCTACTTCAAGACTTTAAGCTCTTATTTTGGCTGGGAAAGCCAAGGTCCATGTGTCAGCAGTTGCTTATTTCCATTTAAATAGAGGGTTCTTGGCACCTCCTTGAGGTAATTTGGCTGTTCACTTTCTAAGCATCTGGAACAGGTCACCCTTGCTCTTCAGGAAAGCAGTGCAATTAGTTTATCCCTGCTGCACTCCTCCAGGAAGATGTCGTATGAGGAACTAGTCACTTCGCAAATGTCATCCAAATATTGTCAAGTACTGGGGCACGTTCTTTCCCCAGAAACCAAAGCCTCAGTAAATCTTGAGTATTATCTTGGGTATAAAGATGAAATGAAAATTTAAATAATGACTTGGAATAATTAAGTGTGAATGAGTACTTTTAGTCAAAAGCATGACTGCATTTTAAAGTCTTTCTCCTGAATCTGTTATTGATAAACTAGACCCACTAGCATTTGTCTTTTGTGAGTGTAACTTATTTTACCGTTTTGTATTTCAAATACTACGATTTGTATCAGTGTTTAAGCTAATCTAAAGGTGTGTTTTTACTCATTTTTCTTTAGAATTTTATAAGAGTGAGGTGATCAAGAATTCTCTGGTAAGTTATTTCAATATGGAAAAAGTTTCTTTTTAAAATTGTATTGTTACTGCAGTATATTGATTTCTCTGCTGAATACCATAACTGTTAAATGTGTATTTCCACTCTTCAGGTCTGTTAGGAGCATCACATTCTTCTCCTCCTTTTCAGGTTCTTTTCACAAGGGTTGGAATAGCGAGTTACTGAATAGTAGAAATGCATGTTCATTTTAACAGCTGTGGAGCAATGGTCTGTTGGGACTCCTGCAGATAGGACTAAACACTCAAGGGTAGGGCATTTTCATGTGAAAACTGTTCAGTGCTCAGGTTAAGCTTTACAAAATATATCCATTTTAAATATTGAGATCACCGAATAGGCAAAGTTATCTTAGCTGGATTTTTACTGGTTTAACTTCTTTCAGTATCTGAGAATTGTATGCATCATAACTCAGGTTTGTTTACAGTTCATCTTTTCTTTTTTTTTTGCTGTTCTTGCTGGTGCTGGCAACAGAAATAGCTGCTTTTATTTAAATGTCTGCAGATTGCTTATTCAAGAAGCACTTGTATATTACTTTGCTGGGTGTACAGATTCATTAGAAGCTCATGCTGTGCAGTTTAGCGACCTTGGTGTAGAAGCAGAGGTCCTGCTTGCAACACCCCAAAGAAAGGGAGAATCAAACGGTGTTGCAGAACATGCCACTGATGTCTTTGAACATCTTTTTGTTGTACAGGTGCACAGTAAGGAACATGTACCTGCATATATAAACACGTATATTCTTTGAAGAGCTAATAGTTTTAAGAAACCGAAGTTGACGACATCTTAGAGTTTCTAAATTTTCCAGTTCAGATCAGTGAAGCGGCCAGAACTGAACAGTTTATTACAGCTGAGAAGGGGTAGGTCTCTTTTGTGGGAGTAGGATGTTACAAGTGTTGGGTAAGGCAGGTTGAAAACCTGCTAAACAGACTTTTTAATGTCTGCATTAACAAGGTAGAACTGCATCATTTATAGCATGCTGGGCTGTAAATGCTTTGCAAACCTCCTGAATGGAGGAAAAGCTGTCTGTGTCCACAAGGCTGTTAACTTGTCTAAGACAACTTCCTTGAGACATTAGGATTTTCAGTTCTGCCAGTTCTAAATCAGGAAAAGGAATAACAAGAAGGGAATCTAACCAAAGGAAATATGAAATGGAATGACAAAAATCTAAATAAAAGATGTCTTGAGCAAATTCCGTACATCATCTCTGGGTATTTTAATGGCCTGTTTTTTTTTTGTGTCTGAATAGCTACCAAATATCCCTTCTTCTTAGGAAAACTTGATTAATGCATTCCTTCTGTAATACTGACTGGGTAACTTTGCCCTTCCCTGCTTTTTGGAGGCATCTTACTCTAAATTGCCTAATACCAGTTCAGAGATGCTTGGCCTGTTCCAAGCTGCTTAAGCACTAGAAGGAAAGGCTTGTTTTTTCATGGGATGGTGGGTTCCTACCTTTTGGATCGAGTGTACCCTCAGCAAGTTTGCAGATGACACCAAGCTGAGTGGTGCAGTTGACACACCTTGAGGGATGGGATGCCATCCAGAGGGACCTGGAGAAGCTTGAGAAGTGGGCCCATGTGAACCTCGTGAGGTTCAACAAGGCCAAGTGCAAGGTCCTGCACCTGGGTGGGGGCAACCCCCAGTGTCAATACAGGCTGGGGGATGAAGGGAGTGAGAACAGCCCTGCAGAGAAGGACTTGGGGGTACTGGGGGATGAAAAGCCGGCCACGAGCTGGCAATGTGCGCTTGCAGCCCAGAAAGCCAAGCGTCTCCTGGGCTGCATCCCCCGCAGCGTGGGCAGCAGGGCAGGGAGGAGATTCTGCCCCTCTGCTCTGCTCTGGGGAGACCCCCCTGGAGCCCTGCGTCCAGCTCGGGGGTCCTCAGCACGGGAAGGACATGGAGCTGTTGGAGCGGGGCCAGGGGAGGCCACAGCAATGGTGCGAGGGTGGCACAGCTCTGCTGGGAGGA